AAAAAAAAAACAAAAAACTCAGAGCAGTAAGTTGTTTAAGGAGAAAAGAATTAAGTGATGCCCAGTGAAAAAAACAGGACTGTGTGGTGTCCTGGGAGTTAGGAATCGGGGACACAGTGTACAGTCGCCCCAGAATCCACAGCACCTACCTATGTGGGTCACCAGACCTAGCGAAACCAAGCTCTGTGCCTGTTTTTGCATCTGGCACCCTGGGAGAGCTCTATTGGCGTAAAGAGGTCAATGATTAAAATCTGGAACTCCCCTTTCTCCTGGGGAATAAATAGCATGAAGCTAACGTTTTTTCAAAGGGTATACCTTGGATCATCTGGGTGATAATCTAAATTAACAGTATTTAAAATGGTGCTCAGAAAATATCCATCAGCTTTTGCTGTTTTGTCTTATCAAACAGGGATACTATCTTCTATACCAGAACCATAAACTTTCTCTGGGGTACCTATTTCTCATTTTTAATGTCAGGTTAATACTTAGCAATGCTGAGATCCGGAACTGAAGAATAGTGATGACTTCACTGTAGGAAACCAGTGCCCGAAAGCTTACTGTTTACAACAGCAAGGCGCTTAATGTTTTCCCAGGTTGTCAGAGGTTGCTTGGATGCCTTCAGCTGTTTGTACTCTGCCTGGACCAGTGTGTAGGTTTGTAAAGAATGGGGCCACCTGAGAGTGGACTGGGGTTAGAGTCTGAAGCCTGTTCAAATCTAGGGCCTTGTTTGTACTCTTTCTAGAGAACAAAATTAGGTGGAGAAAATTCAGCATTTATTTAGAATGAGAAAAGAAGGGAAGTTGGAAGGCGCTGAATGAAGTGAGCCGCCTTGAAGCCTACGCTAGTTAACTTCGTAGTAGTAAGTTGGCTCCTGAAGCCACCGAGAGCCCGGTCCACCAATGTGCCCTCCACGCACAAGGACTTGCGTGTTTCTTCTTGAGCCCCGTCACTAACAAGCTCCCTCACTTTGTGTTCTAGGGCTATGCACTGCTCCCAGGGCAAATCCTGCTAAACTTGATTACAGCTGGCCTGTAGCTGGAACTCAAATGCTTGTTGAATCGCATGAAAGTAGTAAGAGGTAAAGAGGCTAGGAAGAACCAATCTGGGGGTTTCATGCCCCCAAGAAAAATTCCATTGCTAGAGGTAGCTTGAGTCATTTGGGTCACCTGTATCCACACAGAGGCTTATCAGCCCCACAGCCTGCTTTTAATATCAAAAATTGGTTCAAGTTTTGCAAAATCTCAGTTTAAAGGGTACTGACATCAGCAGTGTTAACTCCTGCATTTAGTCTTTGCCGCCTTTGACTTGCAGTGTGGAGACCTCCACATTCACAGGCAGAGGCAAGAAAAACATCAAATACATCATTTGTGGGATAGCATCTGTGGCTCTGTTCCCTCCAAAGGTGAAAATTGGCTGTTTAACTAAATACAGATGGTTCTTATCTAAAGCGATAGCTTTAAGATGTTCCATTCAGCAAGGGATGAGCTGACTAGATAGTGGAGAGAGCTGCTGTCCTTTGCAGAGGGGCACGGTGTGTCAGGTGCGGGAATAGTCCCAGCTGGGAGAGGCTGGGTTAAGGGTTGAGAGTTGATGCCCAGGCCTTTGGCTTTTTTTTTTTTTCAATTTCCTTTTTTTTAAAAATAGGGTCTTGCTCTTTTGCCCTGTCTAGAGTGCAGTGGTACCATCATAGCTCACTGCTGCCTTGAACTCCCTGCTTTTCAGGGCCACCTGATCCTCTTAGCCACTCTGGTGAAGGCCAGGCCAGTCTCTGCCTCCATGCTTTGCTCACACTGTCCTCATCTCATGAGGCCATCTCACCAAATTTAGGCGCTAGCACTTCCTCTCTGGCTGTGCCCAGCCATGTTAATCAGATCTTCTTGGACCTCCAGTGTCCCAGCAGATGGAGGCGTCTTTTCTGTGGCGAAGGATCATGACCTGACCTGTGTTATTAAGTGACCCTCTCCTGTCTTATGTGACCTGAGCTATTTCAGGTTCAATTCTTCGTTCTCCCATTCCACAGTTGGTTCACTCATTCCAGATGCTGTGTGAGAAGCAAGGGGAAGAGGAGTAAAAGCCATGGTCTACACCCAGGAACCTCCCAGCTCGGTTGAAGGCTTACGGGTTTGACTTGAACCAAGTGTGTCTGGGCTCTGGTTTTGCTGCAGTCACATACATTGCAGGAACCAGGATAAAGCCACTTAGGAAACACTGTCTTTAGGCCAATGACTCCCCAATTCCATCTCTAACCACAATGTGGCTAAGGTCCAGATTTAACAAGACCCCGGCCTGCTCAACATTTCCTCCTGCATGTTCAGAAGACACCTCCAGCTTGGTGTGTCTAAGACAGAATGTTCCATTTTTCTTCATCAATCAAGTCTCAGCTCCATCAATTACAGAGGCCACTTGGGCCATGTTGGCAATAGCCTCACTTCCGTTTTTCTCCCCATTCTCTAGGCCTGTGAGCTGCACCCCCACAGCAGATTCCACAACTGACCATTCTTGCCACCCCACCACCAGCTCCCACCCCAAACCGCCACAGTAGGCTCCTACAGGGACTCCCTGATTACACCCTTTGGCCTTAATCTATTCTTTTTTTTTTTTTATAACAACTTTTTTTGTTTGTTTTGAGATTCACATACCAGTAAATTCATCCAAAGTATACAAATTTCTTTTAGTAAGCTGAGAGTTGTACATTACCAGAACCTAATATGCAAACTTTCTCATTACCCCCAATCACCATCAGTCCTCACCACCCCCTTTGTCGTCATCCCCTCTTCACTAATTCACCTTGACTCTGTAGATTTGCCTACTCTGGACGTTTCGTATGAATGGAATCACGCAGTATTTCTCCTCCTATGCCTGCTTTCATGTAGCAGAATGTTTTTGGGAGCCATCTCTGTTGTAGTGTGCATCAGTGCTTTATCCCTTTTTATGACCAAATCATGTCCGTTGTATGAATATACCATTGGGCTTGTTTCTCCTTTTTTGACTATTAATGCTGCTGTGAACATCTGGGTACAAGTTTTTTCACTTCTCTCGGGTGTATGTTATACCTGTGCATAGAATCGCTGGTCTTATGCAGCTTGTTTCCCCTTGGAGGAACTGCCCGACTGTATAGTTTATCCTTCACACGTCAGATCTTTCAAAAGCGTAGGTCAGACCAACCTTTTCTGCTTGAAACCTTCCAAGGTTTCCTATCACTCCCACACAAATTCCAAGTCTTTCCCATTAGCTACCAAGCCACCTTCACCTCCTTCCACTCTTGCTTATGCTCCTCTGGCCACACCGTCCCCTCCTCTTGGTGCTAAGTTGCCCAGTGTGGTTTCCACAGCTGTCCTCTCTGCCTGGAATGCTCTTCTAACAGACCTTCTGGTGGCTCGCCCCCATTTCTCATTTTCCCTGCTGAGATGTCACCTGAACTGGGTCTCCAGCCTTCCTCTCCTCACCCCACCACCCTCTGTCCCTTTATCCTGCATTGCTTTTCCACACAGAACCGATAGACGACCCAGCTCCATAATTTGTAGGGCCCCATGCAAAATGAAAATGCGGGTCCTTTGTTTCAGAATTAAGAATTTCCAGACAGTGAAACCAAAAGCAGAGCGTTAGAACACACCTTCTGAGCCAGGGGGCCGGCGTGACTGCACAGCTTGCATGCCCTTCATTAAACCATGTAACCGGCATGACTGCACAGTTTGCATGCCCTCTAAGCTGGCCCTGCACCTGGGACTACTTGGAATGAAAGGGAATCCCATTTTAACGCTTCCTTCCCCTCCCATTCCCTCACTCTTACAGCTGTCTTAGCTGTTTCTCACTTCTACTTTTCTTCCTGGGAAAAGCGCCTTCCCCGGAGGCCCCTAGCCTTTTGGTGCTCTTCTCTCATCTAACCTCTTCTCCAGACCAGTCTTCATCTCCCCAATCTTTGACTTTAGGATTAAGAGGCCAGGCAAGGTGGCAGGTGGGGCGGAGGAGAGGCTGAGCAGGCAGTGACTACCCAGAGAGTAGGGCTGGGTTGGAGGGAAAGCCAGGGACATTCACACAATAATTTTGGTCCCAATCCCACACCTGTGGAAGGAATTCTATCAAAGAATAAAAGTCTATGAGCAGATTATTAGGTTTAACTATGTTAGCTCGGGATTAATTTCTTCATAAAATTAAAGCCAGTGGAATAGTAGCTTCTTTGAATGATGTGTGGTTCATCCTTATCTGAGATATTAAAGACCAGGCTTGGCTCGGCGCCCATGCACAGTGGTCATGGCGCCAGCCACATACACTGAGGCTAGCAGGTTTGAACTGGGCTGGGGCCAACTGCAACAAAAAAATAGCCAGGCACTGTGGCGGGCACCTGTAGTCCCAGCTACTGGGAGGCTGAGGCAAGAGAATTGCTTAAGCCCAGGAGTTTGAGGTTGAGGTGAGCTATGACAGCACAGTACTCTACTGAGGGCGACATAGTCAGACTGCCTCAAAAAAAGACTATGCTTACATCGGAGTTCTACCAGATCCTCACTGTTATTGCTTGCTTGGTTCATGGTTGATTCTATTTAGTGTTGCGTTCCTTCCTCTCATATTACTCCTAAGAGGAGACATTTTAACACCTAAGCATTTCACCTCTCATTTGCCTTCCTGGTAAGGAGTAAAACTGAATAATTGGTTATCTTCTTTCAGTTTGGAGTGACCCTTAAGGAGTTAGGCTTGAGAGAAACTTTTTTTTTTTTTCATTTTGAGTGGATTCTGTGCACTTTGGAAACATGCTTATACATCCATTGTAATTGTAATTCTGAATTTCAATATGAAGGTGTGGGAGTCCCTCACTGCAGTTACTTGAGAGTTCATTATAATAAGATGCAGGAGCTAAGTTCAATAGATAAAAGTAAGACTATATGGATACCATGCTTGTTTTGCATAAATATCTATGATGGTAAGTAATAGACAAAATATTTATTAAATGTGCTGATATAAATGTGTAAATAATGTAACCACGTATTTTTCTTCTTTATGTTTAGGAAATTATTCAGTTCTGGCTTGCAAAGGGTGTTGATGGCTTTAGTTTTGATGCTGTTAAATTTCTTCTAGAAGCAAAGCATCTGAGAGATGAGATCCAAGTAAACAAGACTCAACTCCCGGTAAAAGATTTGTTCTCATTTTTTTTTAAACCTTCTCTGAAAATTTGTCAGTGTTTTCTTTTTCAGCCAGAGATGCCAATTACAAAGATGAGCTCTGTCCTGTCTCTAGGAAGTACTTACAATCATTTTCTTTAGAAAATATATAGGAGTTTCAAATGCCTATGCAAAGATGTTTCCTTCTAGTAGTTTCCTCCAGAGAAAGGGATCCCTGCAGAGCCCTTCAGTGACAAGGGCTCTGTGGACCGGGACACTGGACTCTAGCAAGGGCCACAAAATGAGGACACTTATGTAATGGAATTTTGTCATCTTACTCAAGCTTGAGTGAGAAGGTCTAAATTACACAGGCCATTTTCTAGTTGTTAAAGGACACATTTTTGGAAGAGAAGGGAATTAACACTTGCTGAGTATTTGCTGTATTCTATATGTCGTTTACTTATTACATTTCATTTAATTCTCTCGGTATCCTACGGGGAAGGTCTCATGATTCCCATTTAGCAAATCTTAGCAAGGTTAAGTTATCCACGGTTACAGCGGTAATAAATAGGATTCCAAACCATGTCCATCTTGCTGTGAAAGCTGAGCTCTTGGGGGCTCTACACCAGCGATTCTCAGCCTTCTTCCCATATCCCGAGTGACAGATGGTATTCACACACTACCCCCTTGCTCTAGTTGACTTCTATTCTGTGGTCTGTTGTCAATGGTCAGGTAGACACAAGTCCTAAAATGTGTTCCAAAATGATGAATTTGTATATTCACACAAGAGAATGTTATGTTACTAAAAGAATTACAGTGACACATAGCAAATTAAGAGAATCTTAGCAATGTCACTCTTAGTGAAAACCTAAAATAATTATATAGGAGGTGATACCTTTTTGATAACATCAAACAAAATGAAATCCATGCGGTTAGTTTATTATCAAGCTTTTAGCTTTTGTCCTGAGTAGTAGTTTATAGGCTACTTATAAGTCTGTTAAAACAAGTCAGTTAAGCACCTAGCAAAAGAGAAGTTGGCCATGTAGAGGCCAATCCTGAGAGCATGTCATGAACCATAGGTTATGATTAGCTAATTTTTCTCACACATGATTTCCAGTGAAAAGGAAAAATAAAGAAAAAAGATGATGTATTGTTGTTCCAGAGAGGAAGAGCTTCTCCTTGGAAAAGGAATCCTGAAATAACTTTGCTAATTAGAATGAGATGTAACAAAACAATGCAGACAATGACAAATGATCAGAACAGTAGGTTTTGTGTGCTACCTGAGAAGAACATAATACGCAATTTCATGAAAAGATCCAAGATTCTACAACTATCACTTCATCTAGCAAGGAAAATTCATTTATGAAGAGAGAATCCAGAAGCAGGCACGTTCTTGGAGTCCCTAACTACTGGGGATGCTGAAGTGGGAGAACTGCTTGAGCCCAGGAATTGGAGCCGAGCCTGGGCAATATAGCAAGATCCTGTCCTTAAATCTTAAAAAAAAAAAAAAAAAAAAGACAGCAGAAGTCCAATGAATGGATGGCCACTCAGGTTTAGGCTGTCCAGCCAGTCCAGGCCACATCACATCCCAGGGTCTATAACCTTGGTTTATATGTGATATACTCGTTTGCTTTGATTCTAAGAGATTATCGCAATCCTAGGAAGGCACGGAAATGAGGATCAGGAAAAACTGCCAAAACCCTGAGAAGGTGTAACAGTAAGCATAAAGATAGAGATGGTTAGGAAGCAAAGTTAAACACATGGTATTAATAATCTTGTGAGGAGATAAAGTCTAAGTGTAATAATGAGGCCTATAATCATTTAAGGTCTTTTGTTTGCCTTTAAAAGTATCTGAAGCATTTAGATAACTAAATGTTCAGGACTTTGTTAAATACATTTATAATCAAAGTTTTGATGTTTGGGAAAATTTAGTGTGCTAAAACGGGTACATGGTAGTTAAATTTGAGAAAAAGTGTTTACTAGATTTATAAAGTTAGCAATTTAAACATCAAATGAGTACTAATAGTCATCGAGTATTCTCCAACTTGAGCCTTTTGAAGAGAAGAGGTTGTATTTACGTGGAGCTGTGGGCATGTGACACGCGAAATGATGGTCACCATGCTGTCTTGGTTTTCAAAGGACACAGTCACACAGTACTCGGAGCTGTACCATGACTTCACCACCACACAGGTAGGAATGCATGACATCGTCCAGAGCTTTCGGCAGACCATGGACCAATACAGCAGAGAACCTGGCCGATACAGGTAACCACAGGACATGTTTCCATTCTTCCCAGGCACAGTGAGGTCCACAAGCATGATCAGATGCTAAAATAGTAATTTAACCAACCTGGCTATGCTAGGGTCTGGCGTATTCTCTCATGTTGCATAACGCTGATTTTTAGTTTCATCTTTCATAAAGTGATGCTATTCACAGTAGTTCACAGGTGTTTTGTGAAAATTAAATTAATTAAAAACAAATATATTAGCTAAATGTTAATTTTTTCTTTTGAGACAGTCTCATTATGTTGCTCTTGGTAGAGTGCTGTGATGTCACAGCTCACAGCAACCTCAACCTCTTGGGCTTAAGTAATTCTCTTGCCTCAGCCTCCCAAGTAGCTGGGACTAGGTGCCCGCCACAACATCTGGCTATAGTTGTCATTGTTTAGCTGGCCTGGGCTGGGTTCAAACCTGCCAGCCTTGGTGCATGTGGCTGGCACTGTAACCACTGTACTATGGGCACTTGAGACTAAATGTTAACTATTATTTTTACCATTATTATTGGAGCTATGGTTCCTTGTACAGTATGAATCCATATGTTTTAACTAAACTGTAATAGATATGTTACATGTGTATACATTTATATATATAATGTTTAAAAGCACTTAAAATTGTACCTGGCACATAGTAAATACTCAATAAAACTATTGTTAAGTTTATATAGATCATCCGATAAAATTAAAAATGAGTAAAAGAAATCTCCCCCCACCAGATCTGGGTGTGGTGGTGTATACTTGTAATCCTGGCTAGTTAGGAGGCTGAGGCAGAAGGATTGCTTTTGAGGCCAGTCTGGTTAACACAGTAAGATCCTGTCTCAAAAAAAAAAAAAAAAAAAAGATAAATTTCCCCTTCATACTCTGATTACTATTTCCATTTTATAGATGAGGAAACTGAGGCTCTGAACATGCAGGCAATGGTCACACCGGTAGTAATGGCAGAGATGGGATTTGAACTGAGACAGTTGGGCTCCAGAGACTGTACACTTATAAATATGCAGTCCAAATAGCTAAAGCCAGTCTCGATTGGGGTCATTTCAAACAAATGTGCCTTGTTAAAGCTGGGATGCTAGGTTGCCGGCCCTAGCCCATGGAACTGCCAGGAGGTACACGCTTGCTTGGGGTATGGCTCCTTCTCAGTGCCGGGGAGTCTGTTGTCTTAGTCAGGTAAGGGTCCCCATCAGGAGGAGCCCGTCTCAGTCAGGTCAGAGGTGCTGCAGCTGCTCAAAGGTGCTGCAGTCAGTCTTCGTAGGAGCCGGACTAACTTCTCTCCCGGCTGTTTATACCACAGGTGCAGAGACTGCCAAGCGATGACATACGTGTTCTCCTACTTTCTAACGATAGCCACTCCCTTCCCCATTCCCTTATTACCCAGGTGTTTCTTTTCAGGTGTCTCCTACAGTGCCCTCTCCAAAGAGTGGTTTTTAGCTGTTGAGAGCACACACCAATAATAAGGCAAGATTTTATAAGGAGTCATATGTAAGGGGAAGTTCTTTTGGGGAAAAATCCTCCCCTTTATGTTTGCAAACATATACTGTGTTTCCCCCCAAATAAGACACTGTCTTATATTTCTTTTTTCTCAAGAAGACACACTAGGGCTTATTTTCAGGGTCTGTCTTATTTTTAAGTATAATACAACAATCTACATTTATTCAAATACAGTTAAGTAGTCATCTTCTGGAACCTGACAGGGGAAGCCGACGTTGTTGGTGGGGCTGGTGCTAGTGATGCACGAACTCCTTTCCCCAGCCGTTC